ATGAATTGGGGAAATAAAAATTAGTTAAACTGTTAATACGTAAATAAGAAGATACTCACAATTATACATGGTGTTTGAGTTCCTTGTAATTGACAGTAGTTGATCAGCATCTACAGGCTTGTCAATTTGTCTGTCTACTAGAAATAAAAACTAAAACTGCTATGAAGATATGAAAATAATGATTGGAATTTAAAAGCAGAGAAAAGTCACGGTTAACACCTCAAAGGCGTAACCTATTGCTGTTAGTAGGAGCAGGGGGATTTGTCTACCATTTCATGATACATGTATGGGTGGTAATGAGAACACAATATGGTCATAGTCTATAATTAGTTTCTGAGGTTTATCTAAATATTTGGTGGACCATAAAAGAGTGCCTGGGGACTTTGTGTGAGTTCTGGGAATAGTCGATAAATCTCTTTAGAATCTAGCAACAGCATAACTAGTTTCTTGAACTTAGTGATTGTGTCACAGATACGAATAGCGATTGGTAACCTGTTCCACAGTAGACTGTATCGTATTACAAAGAAATTAGAACGCAATGATTTTTTGTGTTTTGCCGTTAATAGTGTATATGCGTTGTTTCTAAGTCTGTAAGCAGTGTCTTGGTTCATATTTGGGCGGTATTTTACGAACGAAAGACCATTTATTAGTTTATAGAGGAGCATTAGGTTGTTTTTGAGACGACGGCGCCATAGAGGTTCTAGGGAAAGATGCTTGCATCTTTCTGTGTAGTCGAGGTTATTGCTCAATCCGAGTAGTCGCCGGGTGAAGCTTCTTTGTACATTTTCTACTCGCATTTTGTCCATGATATTCATGTTTGAAAATATGAGTGAACAATATTCAAGTGTGGGCCTTATACAGATTTTGAAGAGAGTAAGCTTAGCCTCACTTGTGAAGAAGTTCTTGTTTATAAACCCAATGAGTCGTCTAGATTTAGAGATAATATTTGAGGCATGTTCTTCGAATTTTAGGCTTTTAGAGTAACTAATACCAAGGTCACGCGCTGATATGAGTGTCTGAACCCTACATTTTTGTAAGTAGACTGGTGAATCAAGGTGATGCTTGCCAAAATGCATTATGCCACATTTGTTGTGGTTAAACGGCAGTTGCCATGTCTCGCTCCAGGTACTTAAGTTATCAAGATCACTCTGAATCTTAGCTATATTTTCGTCCAGATCTTCAGGCTTATAGCTGTATACTATTTTCAGATCATCAGCATATAAGTATGCTCTTCCAAATTTTATAGTATTACATATGTCATTAATGTACATTAGAAACAAGAGTGGACCTAAGACACTTCCCTGGATAACCCCACTGGTTATTGGTCTTGGTGATGAAAGACAGTCATTGTACTTTATCATTTGTTGTCGTCCATTTAGGAATGAAGCTAACCATGAGTGCAGTGGGTTGATGATTCCGAATGACTTCAGTTTAAGTAGAAGCCTTTTGTGTGGGACTTTATCAAAAGCTTTTTTAAAATCGAAGAAAAGGACTGATACCAGAAGCCCTTTGTCTTGTTCATGTGTGATATTGTTGAAATAATCTAACATGTATTCATTTCTACATCGAATCTACTTCTTGGTTTTGTTCTGCGGACGGATTTTACCCGGTAACTGGAACGTAATTGGCCTTCAGTGGTGATCACAGTCGACCGCGACTCATCCCGTTTAAATTCAGCGCTATTCCGTTTGTGAATCGATAATGCACAGCGCCACAGAACTTTTATTGATCTCTTAGATGATATGCTTTGATGGCTAAATGCAATATACCAAACAGAAACTGAACTGTTTTGTAGTACTGCATACTTGCTTCAGAAGAGCAAGATACTTCGTCAGTCACAGCTAAATCTAGAGCATCCTACTGACGATGAGCTCTGATTTTCATAACAGGTGAGATATCGTTTCACAGAATTGTAACCATGTTCACCACATTATTAGTTTCACCTAAGGTGTTGGATACATCTTCAGTAATATTGCTTGCACTGATATGCAAAGGCGAACTCACTTCAGGGATACGTTCTATATCCGTAAACAAACCTAAAGGCTGACTATTCGCGAAGAGCGACAATTGAACTGTTGGAACAATCGGTTGAAAACAATAAAATTAGTGTACAACAAATACTTCAATGTCAGTCACCCATTTTCTTGCCACGATAGTATCCAAGATCACTAAATAACCCTATGGAATCCATTCCGTCTTGCTTTTTTGGTGCATCAATTTTATAACTCATTAAACTTTCGTCATCAACGCAATCTATATGAGCTTTATATTCATGAAACGAAGGTTCTCCTGACTCAAAGCCTTACTGGAGAGTATCCCTTTGATCTTCCGTGGCTTGTAAAGCTAACATAACCTAAGGATTCGGAATACTCGGAGCAAAACAAGTCTGAAAGTAATTTGGCATCTCATCTACCATGCTCATCTTCTTTTATATTGGCTGCATGATTTACAAATTAACGTTACTTTTTTGTATATCACTTACTTTCGTCAACGTTGTGTGCCTTCATCCAACTCTGGCAGTATCTTTGAATCTCTTTTATCGAAGTTCTCGACTGAAGTATTTTTCCTTTAGGCAGATAAAACAATCTAGTTTACCTTACGAAATCCAATCTCTACAGTCTATCAAGGTTATTGAGTAGTAATATTCTCGCAAAAAGACTTGAGGAATGTCCGTATCGCGCTCTATCAACTTGATGAAGTCTGAGAATCTTGGCCTAAAGCCTCCTTCTAAGGAACTACTTTCTATGTAGTCGAGCAGGTAAGCGTCCAGATAATATCTTTAGAACTGACGTGGTTTATTTTATCCTTAAAATTCATAGATGATGGGGTATTTCTGTGAACGAACGAACTATCGAAGGAATAAGTAACATCATTTAATGCATTGGAATTCGATACAGACAAACCACATTGGATCAACTTAATTGACGTTCTTCGGTAAAACGGTGACTAGGGACTCGATGACTTTTATTACATGAACTATGGATCAGGAAGATGAGTTCCCACCATAAAATACTGGTTCGGCAAGGCTGAACATGCACGAAGTCGTATATAATAAAAACATTTGGTTATTATTGAAATGCATTATCCAGTTATTCAGACATTTCAGCAACTCCTGTGTTGCAAGTATATTTCGGTTTTATTGGTGATTGTGAAATATGAAACATTTGGGACCATATCTCTGTTTCTGGCTATCAGTTTTTCGGAGACACCTACAAATATTACTTGGCTGTTTTCCTCTTTGGATATTCGCATACAGGTATAGCGAATCGAAATATAATAATTCTTCGCGAGATAACAAATTTTAATCCCGTTAATCTAGGAATCAGATAAAAGACGATTCCAGATGAAGAAGCATATACTTAATGCTAGCCTCGTGATATCGAAGTAATTTCGAGGCCAGAGGGCATACAAGCGGCTAACGTCCAGGCAGGAGACGCGCGGAGAAACAGGATGGGAATAACACGCTTGACGCGCGAGAGATGGTCTTTTGTACTGATTAACAGAAGGAGTGGAATATGACAATTACTGTCAGAATAAAGTACGATAATAAATGTTTATATTCCAGCAATTGTGTTTTCTTCGTAAAAGTATACCACTACACAGGGTTGCTAGGACGGTCGTTTACGTATGAAAGAAGTTGTAAGCTATCAGTGTATGCGACTATGATTTTCAGATCTACTTAGGTTGAACAGAAATGATTTGAGCCAGTTTACGCTGAAGAGACACTTTGTGGGTAACACCTGATCTAGCTATTCTTATTATAATAATCTCGATGGCCGGCAACAATAACCATAATCCTGCCTTAGAAATGTACTATCGGAAGAGACTAGAGAGGTACAAAATAAATCCTTTGTTGGATGTGCCATTGTATGATGTGAAACTTCATCATTCGAATAAACGATAACGAGGAGGGCGATACCTAGATAAGATGAAGAGGAAAGTAACGTTGACCTATGTTTTGATGCTTACTTTCAGCAGTGAGTCATATTAGTTGGTTGTTCTGATTGGTAGCTTACTAGTAGCTGTTCCATGATGCCACTTCTATATATCACAAATTTGACACATTCAGCTTGACTAGTCTCATCAAAAGAATGTTTGAAGTGGTATGAATATTCAGAAATTCTTTGAGTGCTCTTCAGTCCTTCTAGTTTAAGCTTTCAGTCATGTTGTTCTTGCATGACACACTACATTACTCACCAATGCTGTGACAAATACTGGTCTCATAGATTCTGCTCACCTGTGAAACAGTAATAAAAGAAGCCGAAAACGAAAAGAAAGTAATGTTGACAATCATACTCTTTAAATAGAGCGACTTTATTAAATGATTGTAAAAACCAGAAACTGTCCTTCAGCTGAATGACATAAAGGATAAGAAATCAGTTGGTTTGTACTTCATTGGTACAAAGACATTAGATGCATAAGATAGTCAGCTGAGGGCACAACGACCCACTCAGTGAATGGATTAAAGAGGGGAGTTGATAAACACACATGGATCACCACCTCCCTCTTGAATCAGCTGCTTCTAATACTTGTCACTATTAACCTTAGTATTAGAATTTTCTCTTCACTATTTCTCGCATTTTTACCAAATGACCTGCCTAGTTATGTGGTAGCTGTTAGTATCCAGAAACCCTATTGTCCTGAGACAAACACACAGGCTCGAATTACAAGGTAAGATTTTGGAGCTGTTTTAATTGATAGTGCTGCTACGGGCGCTGTCGTCGTATCTCGCTAGAGCTTTACCGGTTTTTTCAGCTTATACTTCGGAATTTGTACAGACACACTTCATACTGTTTTCATTTTTGAATATTTTGGTACGATGGAGTTCTAGATATGCTTCCTAAGTACTCAAGCCAATCTGCAATACTCTTCAAGAGAGAAACCCTTTCCACCGATGGAAAAGTCACTAGTGCGCTTTCCTATGAACGCTCAGCGCCCCAGCAACTCCGAAAGAAGAGGTTAGCCTTTATCTAAGCCAAAATCTTTTTGTAGATGGCAAAATGTGCATCAGCCAGCCGGTATCTTCATCAAGCCGGAAGTCCTGCCCAAGCAGATCTCAGGTCAGAAACAGGCATTCCAAGCAAAGTTCCAAACGGCATGTAGATTTGGTGACTGATTACAAGACAAGACCAGACCGTATGAACTTTAGATGTTCAGAAAGTGAAAAATCACTCGAAATCCAAGTAGATGGCTATGTGCAAGTCTCGTGAGTAGTTTGTATATTACTGATGGTGTTTTTAGAAGCCAGTTTGTTCTAATTCCGGGTTCCACATACTTCAAAACCAATAACGACGGGACTCCTCCACAATGGGACGAAGTCTCGTTCGTGAAAGTTCTGAACAAAGGCGATTTAGTGTGCCCTATATGTCTTTATCCTCCTGTCACACCACGAATGGGAAAGTGTGGACATATCTACTGTTGGCCCTGTGCATTACAATATATAAAATACGAAAATGAATCCGACATCAAGAAGTGTTCTGTCTGTCCGTCCCTGTTGGCACTTAATGAGTTGAAGAGGTAATCATGTGTCTTGCCTCACTAATACTGTAGGGTATCCTTAACCTGTATTACCCCAACGAAGGTCGGTGACGAGATACGCTTGGAACTAGTTAAGCGTTCAGGACCTTGTGTAACTCCTCTTTTATCTCCTCAAACTTGTGAATCTACATCTGGGCCACTTTTCGAGTGTGTATGCGTCGCTGATCCAGTAACAATAAAGAACATTCACGAGTCTGAGATTGATGAACTTCGTACGTATAGAACTATTTGTGAAGTAGATGAAAACAACATGGAGCTGATTCCGTTCATTGACTTTGTATTTGAAGAGCTGAGTCAGGAAGAATTGCTTCAAAAACCTTGCAGTAACAGTTCAGCTAAGCCTTGTGAATCTTGCAGTCAAGATATTAATGAAGTTTCTACAAATAAAACCTACTTTTACCAAGGTAAATGTAATCTTCGCTAACATACTGTTTAGCTGCTAATAGTCAACCTATTTTCTTGGATAGCCTAGGTTGGCGATGTCTGCTAACCGAGTACACAGAGGTGCAAAACCTTCCGAAAGAGATTGTCGCAACTGTCGTATCAACCAGAAGTTTTCGGATGAATCCAGTAAGTCACTACTCTTTTTTATGGACCACAAGGTGTAAAACACACTGGCCTATATTAGACTGGTTACAAATTGGCATCATGTATTGGTTGGTAACATTCATTTCTTTTAAGAAGTTATACTCAAGCTTTTGACTGATCGGAAAATTCAGTAAACTGGTTTCTTGATAACTGACCCTTTTCGAATCTCACTAGTAGTTTTATGTGGGTTTTCTTTGTTCATCACTCCGTTCTTGACATACTCAATTAGCAGGCGCTTCACTTGGCAGATACAAACCATCAACGCCCTGTACGTGTGACATCAATTCTTGAATATTTTTAGATAGTGGATGAATAAGGTTTTATTATAGATGAGACTTAGTTTTTTTCATACATTTATTAATTATAATTAAAAATGCCTTGTCAATATATCTTTTCTTTCAAGTCTTTGCGAAAACCACTGAGATATCTGAACCATTTACCTGACGGATACGCTTTCAATTTAGTGGAAATAAAGCTAGAACCACCGTTGGTATCTGAGCTAACACTGTCTCATTTTGCAACAGCTTTGAATAACCGTGCATTGGAACGAGATCGAAGTCGTCTTGAGGATCTGAAACTTACTGAGTTGAAAGAAGCAGCTGAAAACCAATTTATGTCATTGCGTAAGATAATTGTTAATGAGTTGGTTTTTTAAAAAAAGGAATAGGTGTAGTTTTTACACATTTGATAGGAGTGATAATTCTATAATATGTTATCCAAGCATTTGCTCCTAATACCTAATTGTTAGTACAACCCTTAACCAATTATTCTTCATTACGATATCCATCCAAATTTGTCCATATTATGATTGTAACTTCCGATGGCTTGGTTTGATGAAATAACTGAATAAACCCATTTCCCTATAAGTACACCCAAATGACGTGATTACATACATCCACCACTTTACTATAATGAACTGGCACCCAAAGCATCAGCAAATGGAGATTCGTTTCTTTAACTGAGTGGTTTAGTCTCAGCTTTCAATGTCTTTCTTTGCAATATCACAAACTTTTGTCTAAAGTTTCGGCTGATGTCTAGGAGAACAATAAAGGCCTCATTATCAAACTACCCAATTAATAAATCGATATTCTACTATAAG